AGTATATATATATATAAGAATTTTGTAAAAGATTTTTATTGTTTTTGAAAGTGGTCTCTTATGCTCACTAAGCATCATTTATGTGATTAACAATACAGTAAAAACAGTAATATTCTGAAATATTACTGCAAATTAAAATAACTGTTTTCTGGTTTAATTTATTTTAAAGAATTTTTATTTTATTTTTAGTTTTTATTCCTGTGATGGCAAAGCTGAATTTTCAGCATCATTACTCCAGTCTGCAGTGTCATGTGATCATTCAGAAATCATTCTAATATGCTGATTTTCTGCTCAAGAAGCATTTCTTATTATTGTCAATTTTGAAAACATTTGTGCTGCTTTTTTTTTCTTTTAAACTATATCTTTTTTTTTTTAAATAAGGCTCTTTGATAAATAGAAAGTTCAAAAGAACAGCATTTATTTTTAATATAAATCTTAATATTACAAATGTCTTTGCTGTCACTTTTGATCAATTTAATGCATTCTTTCTGAAGTATTAATTTTGAAAGAAATACTACTGCAAACTTAATACCTTATTTAAGTTTAACATTATTGTACTCAAGTTAATTTAATTAAAAACTGTTTCTAGTAGATTCTAGCAGTTCAGCTTGGTTGGTGTATTAACATTAAATCAGTTAATAAAACTCTAAAATATACAGACATCATTCACACAGTCCGCAGACGCTCTCCCCATGCCGAACTGTACTCACACTCACACTAATGTATGGCGACCCAGACAGACAGATAAAACATAAAGCATGTCACAGAGCAGACAGTGAGAGAGGAGGAAGAGAGGGAGAGAGATGTCCCAGAGGCGTTGTTAAATTGATCAGTGTACGGATGGCAGGATACGTGATGAAATGAGAGAGATGGATGGATCTGTGGTCTCATCTCATTATGGCTCTTAGTGCAGGAAATGGCTTTCTACCTGCAGCACTGCAGCTGTCATGTCCAAACTAGTGCTGTAGCATTAAGTAATTTTTAACAGTATGCACAGTTTTCTATTCCATCGGTTATTGAAGCGCCACCATTGATTATAAACTGAGAAATGTATAAAGGTGCAAATAAGTTATACCATATATAGTTATTTAATTGTTCTACACAGTAAGTAGTATAATGAAATCTCAAAGTTCTGCATTTGCTGCAGAAAAAGGCTAGCATGACCTGTCACCAGCATAATTTGTGTTTTAGGTGCTGCATTGCCAAATGTTGGTGTATTGATTCTCATCTGATTTCTGCCTTCTCCTCTCTCTCTTTCTGATTGAGTCTCTTTGTGTTCTGGTTGGAACAACTTGTTCTGGAGGGACTAAATATAGCTGTGCGCAGTGAGGAGCAGAGGTGGCGGGGGCAACCTTTTTACAATTAGAGCCAAGACTAGAAAATTGAGAGCAACAAGGAAAAGGCAACATTATTGTACTCAAGTTAATTTAATTAAAAACTGTTTCTAGTAGATTCTAGCAGTTCAGCTTGGTTGGTGTATTAACATTAAATCAGTTAATAAAACTCTAAAATATACAGACATCATTCACACAGTCCGCAGACGCTCTCCCCATGCCGAACTGTACTCACACTCACACTAATGTATGGCGACCCAGACAGACAGATAAAACATAAAGCATGTCACAGAGCAGACAGTGAGAGAGGAGGAAGAGAGGGAGAGAGATGTCCCAGAGGCGTTGTTAAATTGATCAGTGTACGGATGGCAGGATACGTGATGAAATGAGAGAGATGGATGGATCTGTGGTCTCATCTCATTATGGCTCTTAGTGCAGGAAATGGCTTTCTACCTGCAGCACTGCAGCTGTCATGTCCAAACTAGTGCTGTAGCATTAAGTAATTTTTAACAGTATGCACAGTTTTCTATTCCATCGGTTATTGAAGCGCCACCATTGATTATAAACTGAGAAATGTATAAAGGTGCAAATAAGTTATACCATATATAGTTATTTAATTGTTCTACACAGTAAGTAGTATAATGAAATCTCAAAGTTCTGCATTTGCTGCAGAAAAAGGCTAGCATGACCTGTCACCAGCATAATTTGTGTTTTAGGTGCTGCATTGCCAAATGTTGGTGTATTGATTCTCATCTGATTTCTGCCTTCTCCTCTCTCTCTTTCTGATTGAGTCTCTTTGTGTTCTGGTTGGAACAACTTGTTCTGGAGGGACTAAATATAGCTGTGCGCAGTGAGGAGCAGAGGTGGCGGGGGCAACCTTTTTACAATTAGAGCCAAGACTAGAAAATTGAGAGCAACAAGGAAAAGGAACATTGGTCAATTTTCAGGTCGTCAATAATCATTTTGTTTACTTCCCCTGTGTCAAAACATGTCATTTTTTAGTACATCAATAACAACTTAATATAGAACAAAAAAAACATTTTTTTTAAATCACATACTGTTTATATTTGATTTAGCTGATATTTCACCTGTTGGTTTATGCTGTCATGGTCATGTTTGTTTTTTTTGGGCAACAATTAACACAAGGGTTTGAGTTTAGAAGACGGTACAGTCCGTACACATACAAAACCTCCTCCATTAGTCTACATTAGAAGATAATAGTTTTATATAGAATGGGTGTGGTAAATTTGTGGATGTTAAATATTAAATGTTGTATAATGTCTCTACTAGTGATAGACCATGATATCAGCCAAGCTGATTCATTTATTTGGTAATTTTGAGATTATTAGCATCTGCCAATAACTATTTAGAGGCCAATTAACAGATCATAAATCTACTGGCATCATCAGTAGGTGCTACATGTCTTCTGTTTTTCTTATTTTTTGTGAATTAGGAATAAATACCATGTAAACAAAATGTTAATTTAATCTAATAATTCAGTGTATGTCTCATTTGCCATCAATCAATTAATCAACATTTGTTTTGTGTCTGGTAATGTGTCTGATTGGTTCAGGACTGCCCTTATAATTAGTGTACTGTAACGTATGATTATTCCAGTGTATATTTATTTATACGCTGGTGCTTTTATGTAAAGCAATATATGTACCGCTAGTGCATTAAAGGTATACATTGGTTCATTTTGTGTGTTCCCTTAGAAACAAAACCAAAAGCTATCAGACCCATTTAAGCTGTACATTTAGACTTTTTTAAATGTTCAGTGTTCCCTCTAAATTAGTTGCTGTCTCTGCTGTGTGTGTTTATCTAAATAACTCTGACTCTTTACAAATGGCACAATAATGGATGGAAATGAAAGGATACTAGGCAGAGGGAGAGACAAGCTCATCTTTGCTTTTATGAATAAAGGCCATCAATTTGTTATTCTGCAGTGATTGTTTTTTATGCTGGAGGCCACGTTTGTGGACCAAGCAGTGACGCACACTGGATTGATTAAGTGAATTGAACATGCATATTTTGTCTTATGCATGCATGCAGGTGTTAACCCTGCATGTGACTTAAGTGTGACCTTGTTCACCTCTCGTAAATGTATTTACATTTCCACGGCAATATGGACTTATTATACATCATCATGACATTAAGGTCATTTAACCCTGTACAACTCTGCCATGTGCCATGATGCATATGCAAATAGTTATTCTGATAAGAACAGCTGCAATAGAACATAACTATTGATTTTTGAGTTTCAGTTCAACTTATTCTTAGACTGCAGGTATATTCATGGCAGACATCAAAATATAACTTTGTATTAGAAAAAACATTTTTTTAGGATTATTCTTAAAACCAAATCTCCCCTGATCCGGTTTATTATCGTTAACTAAAACTAAAACCATTTTCATTACTTGAAGTAATATAAACATTAACTGATAGAAATTAAATAAAATATAAGCTGAAACCTAAAAACACATAAAACTTATGCAAAAACACAACAAAATTATCAAAACTTTAACTAAAATTACACATATATATATATATATATATATATATACAGAAAATCTAAATAAAATCTAATCCAAAATGTTACCAATAACTATAATAGTATACCAGTAATACTAAATTAACACTGCCACTCACTTGTATTAGAATATTCAACATCTAATTTGTCTTTTTCAGAATGTTGATGCCGCAGCAATATGGAATTCTGGGAAACAGAACGCCGGCGCTCTCCCGTGCGCCTGAATGCAGAGCAGAAACACAGAGTAAGATGTGTGCACAAAGCCCAACAATCTTCGCAAGCACTTTCCAAAGACATCTGCAGTGACTGGCTGCTGCAGCCAACGGGAACATGTGCCAAACGAGAAGAGCAACAACTGCCTGTGCTCTCCGGACTCTCAACAGACAAGCACAATAACCAATCAGAGAGGAGAATGAAGACAGTGGAGCCAATGACAATGACCTTTGACCTTCAACAGAAGCTTGAACAGTTTGTGTCCAGTATTCACAAAAAGGATTGAATGATTCACAATTGTTGAACATATTATGAGTACACAAAAAGTGCCTCTTGTTTTTGATTGTCGCTTTCTGAATATAGACTTTCAATTGTTCAGGCACTGATTGACGTGCTTGTTCTTTAATTTGATGTAAAAACAGACTGGAAAAGAGAGTCTTTGAAAGCGTTGCGGCAAGATGTCAACAACGCTGATGGTACTGCTTCTGGAGAAAATGATGAAGATGAAGTAATTATGACTCTCACATGGTGTTCCTCATGGTGTTTAGCTAACCTAGCATCACACATGTGTTGACTGACGAGTTCATCGTCCTCCGTGTTCCTTTCTCCACCCCTTCGCCCCATGCGTGACATGTTCTAGCCATGCATTAGTACTTAAGTGCCTGTCTCTTTTCTGTCTCTCTTTCTTCTGCTCTCTTCACAGTAGTGTCCTGAAAGGAACCAGTAACAGACGTTTGGCTCAGTGACACTAAGCATCTATTTTTACTCTATGGGTGGGGTGCTTCTGTGATGGTGTCCTGCGGTAGCTTACCTCCACTGGCACGCAAGCATGCTAGCTGACCCAGTCCACACTGGACTATACCAATGATAGTCCAGAATGGGGGAGTGTAAAGGAAATAATGTGGGAATCAACCCCCACACACTGTATCACAGTGACACCCATTGCTGGCCAACAGTAGTAAAATAAAAACAGGGGTGTTAAAAACATGATTCTCTCATGTATTTCTTTATTTTATTTTTTTACTTCATTATGATGAGTATGTCTTTTAAAGATTTTCTTCTGAATTAATTTAAAGGGATAGTTGACCCAAAATTGAAATAATTGTCATTATTTACTCACGTGTTCTTCCAAACCTGTATGATGTACTTTCTTCTGCACAAAAGATGATATTGTGAAGAATATTGGTTACCAGTTGCCGGTAGCCACTGACTTCCATAGTATAGAAAAAAAATACTATGGAAGTCAATAGCAACCGGCAACTGTTTGGTTTCCCACATTCTTCAAAATATCATCTTTTGCATTCAGCAGAAGAAAGAAACTCGTACAGGTTTGGAACAACTTGAGGGAGTAAACTATTTCTTTAAGAAATAACACATTTTGCTTGATATGAATATTTATGATTTTAAGTGTCCGACGGTTGTGTTGGCACTAGTGCGTGCACAGTATGTTTGTTCCTGACTCTTTGCTAAACTGTTTCAGGATGTTCCATCGTGACGTGTGATTGCTTGGATACAAATGTAACAAATAGTGATTATTGAATCCAGACTGAGCTGGTCGAACACACAGAACAACCTGTAATACAAAAACAATGATTCATAACCAGTTGCTCCTTTTATCAGAAGGGGAATCCCGCATAATGATCATTCAAATCCTATAGGATAATACATTTCAACGATCAGACCGCAGGTTAATCACATCAAGCCGAAGAGTATTACTGAATAATACTTGTTTATCCCAAATACATTCAGGACACACATGTTTCCAATATCACTGAAGTCTTTGAGAGGTTGGAGTTACAAGGCAAAATGTGTGGACCTTTATTAAAGGGATAGTTCATCCAAAAAGGAAGATATTTTTTAAATACGTTGAGATCCAAACATTATCAACTTTCATTGTATGAACAAAACAACACTCAGACGTTTTCCAAAATATCTGCTTTTGTGTTCAATAGAAAAAATGGTCACATGTTTGAAAGGACATGAGGGTGAGTAAATGATGAAAAACTTTTCATCTTGGGATGCACTATGCCTTATTAATCTTATTAACAATGTATTTCACACATTAAAATGATGTGAAAGATGAGAGAGGACTGTTGACATATTGCATAAGAAACCTTGAGAACTTTAAAGCTGTGTTTTGTTCCTGTTGATAGGGATTGTAGCAAATATATATTAATAATACACTTTTTTTGGACAGTGAAATTAAGAATTTCAAGCTGCTTCAAAAAAGGTCAGGCAAGCCAATATATATATAAACAGGATGAAGTGTGAATCTCTTGCTCTTGCTATATTTTTCTCAATATCTTCAGCGTTGCGCATTTTAACCAATCACGCGATTGTGTTGAGCTTATGAATGTAATGGCCAATCAGAGGCTTTCAGGTGAGTCATCGCTGAAACGCCAGAGTTTTGTTCAGTGCGCATGCTCAGTGACTGAATTCTGCTGTCTGGCGAATTCTCTCTTCATAAACAATGAAGGGCAGATGTACGTACAACGCAAGTAAGAGATTCATTAAAAAAATGTAAATGTTCTTTGCTCTCTTTCTGTATGTAATTTTTTCGCTGTTTGAATAACCCTGGGATTGAAGCACTATAATTAGTAACTAACAATGTTTTGTTAAATTGTGATGAAGTTAAATACAATTTCAGTCGTATTAAAAATAATGACACTTGTATCTGGTAGGCTACTTGTCTAAAATAGATGGGTTTATATGTGTGTAGTTATTATTAGGCTACTTTTAGCCTGACCCTGGGGTTGGTTTACCCACCGCCTACGATGCAGAGTGACGTTATTTTTCAGAATTTCAATTTTATTTCTTGTAATTGTAATTTACTTTATTTCTTATTTAATTTTATCTCACAGTTGCCTTTTTTTATTGTTTTTCTGAGGCGGAGCCAGCTTCCATAGTAGCTATGTGTGTCCTGTCATTCATTCACTGTGCTCTCTATAGACAGATAGGCTGGTAACAGTATCTCAGCCTATACATCTATGAATAGCAAGCTGTCTAGCTTTACTCAGAGCTGATAGATACAGTATACAGAGTCTTAAGGGTCATTCCACAAATTTTTCGTGCACGTTTCACCAGCACAAAAGAGATCTTTATGTGGAAGGTCTGGTTTCAACTTCTTGTGCGCACACACTGACATCAGTAGAAGGCTGGGCGTCTAGGATTGGAAGTGAGGGCACATATTCATGGGTGGCCTATTACCACAGGAGTACTTGTATTATTCAGAACACACAGTGGCCATGGTGAATTAAACCTCAAACTCTGTGCACTGAGAAACACTTGCTATGCAGCAGCATTTTATATTCTTGCGCACATCAGCAGCACATGCAGGAAAAACCTGACGGCTATTGCTCTGATGACACAAACACTCTCACCTACAGGACAAACAGTAGTGAAGGTGTGCTCCACCCGTGACCTGCTTGTAATCCACACAAGTCTATAGTTTCACCGTCTGGTCCCCAGGGTCTGTGGCTCAGCACACGGCTGAAGGCTGCAGGAAAGAGATGCATGAGTCTTTTGAACTTTTGACATGAAAAGAAGTGACAAAAATGATGACAAAAAGCTGAATGTGTCAGCAGCTGGCATCCACAGTAATGTATCTGGCAGCAGCAGATGTGTGCGTGCTTTAGGGCTCCTTTAACTCTGCGTTTCTGCGATTCTTAAAACGTCTTAATTCGCCCTTCCACAAATTAAGGACTTAAAAGGTCTTAAAGGGGTCATATGATGCTATTTTAAAGATCATTATTTTGTGTATTTGGTGTAACAGAAAGGAAAACTTGAAATCGCATCATATGACCCCTTTAAATCTGAGAGAAACTCAAAAGTCATGGCATTAAATGTTGCAAGCACTGCAAAAAAATAGTATCTTCCTAAATATTTTGGTTTTCCAGTACAAACATCTCAACATCCTTAAATGAAAATGTATTTACTTAAATGCAAATGGAACATACAAAGTTTTATTCTCTGAAAAACTGAACAAAAATGTTTATGCTTAGTTTATGCTTAAAACATCAACAACAACAAAAAACTTTTGATCAATTTCTCAAAACAAGACTTATTTGTAAATATATCTTGATTTAAGAATCTTTAGACATTTGCACTGAAAAACAAGACAAAAATAATCAGAAGGTACAGTAAAAGTTATTTCCATATTCTAGTGGTTGTGAGCAAAGCTTTTATTAAATCATTTAGAGATAATATTGACATATTGTATTCCATTCAGTTTATTCCTTAAATTTATTTAATTTATTCCTGTGATGCAAAGCTGAATTTTCAGATTATCATTGCTCCAGTCTTCAATGTCATCCTACAGAATACATTTTAATATTCTAATATGAATTAATACTATTATTATCAAGGTTGAAAACAGTTGTGCTTCATTTTTTTTTCGTAAAAAACATTAGAATTATTTTATAAATAGAAAGTTTCAAATAACAGTACTATTAACAGTACTTATGAAATACATCACAAAACGTTCAGAATATATACATAATTTTAACTGTAGGTACAGATAAATATGCTAATCACTTTGTTCGTGTAGTCTTACACTAATAGTATCAAGAAATGCTGTTAAAATACACAGCAGACATTATTTATTTCAAATTATTACTTGTCCAAAACCAGTATTGTTCTGCCTCAAATAAGTTACTTTCACCTTATAATATTTATATGGCTGCTAACAGCCAAAATACACTCTTACAGCTGAGCGATACAGCAGGAAGTCTTCCTGCTTTATTACTTCCCTTTTGGCTCAGCAAGGCAGGAAGTCCAGTGAATATGTGCACATGAGAGAGAGTGACACAATACTAGTCTTGGTTATCACAAGCTAATTCTGAATGTGTTCTTTCTTACAGTCCTCTCCTGTCCTCACAGATTTAAATGTGGCACAGTTGTAGTCAGTAATGAGTTTAATCCACAAGCCTCATTGATCGCTCAGTCGTTTCGTTTGAGTGGAAGGTCAAACCAAAGTTCAACAGACGCAGGTCGATGGGGAACAGTAGTTTTGCTGTGTGTACTCATCGCCCACAGCATGGAGGGTAATTATGTTTTAATGCATTTTAATACCCTTTCATTATCCCTAAACAAAAACAGCTTTCTTTCGAACCCTTTTCTCTTGCCAGTTTCTTTCACTCCATGTAGGCTCTCCCTATTTCCCATTCGCCCAAGAAATGTGGCCATATTTAGTATGTTTATGTGCTAGTGAATCTGGCCTAGACAGGGTGACTGAGTCAAACTGAGGTTTCTTTTGAAGCTCAGATGAGATTTGGAGGTTCTGTCTGAATGCTTGAGACTGAAGCTATCAGAAGTTGGCTTCACATCCGAACAAAAAGGCTCCCTGTACCCTAGCAGCACCCTAGACTAGCTGTACAGAGTGTGAATAGCAGAGCAGTGAGAGAGCGGGGAGGGGTCACGTCACTGCGGGGCCTCTATATTTTATTTTCCCCAAGAGCTGCCTGAGAACCCATAGACACATGCTACAGAATTCCCCCGCAGCCGAGAGAGAAAGAGGGAGGGACGGAGGGAGGGAAACATGGAGACTTGGGTGAAAAAACGACAGAATTCAACGTGTTCACGCAGACACAGGCATTTTTCAGTATTGTTGTCTTTTGGTCCACCTTTAGGCTACTTGTTAAACTAAACTGCAAATGGAAAATTGTTAAAAATATTAACATTTTACAGCTTTCTTGGAAGTGGAATGTTCCATTTTCAAAGCATTTATATGGGGAAGTGTGGTAATCCTTTGTACAATTTATGTAGTCATGATTGACAGAAAGCCCCTGTTTTTTTCTGTGTCCTTGCCTCATGCTGGGTCAGTGTGGATGGGGCCTAGACAGGGGGATTTTTTGCATAGGCCCATCTATTGGGAAAAGGTTAAGGGTCATTCTTACAAATGTGGCGGTTACGACTTTGATAGTACGCCATTGTAGCAGCAAGACTCTAACTGTCATTAATGATTATGATGTTTTTGATCATAAAACATTTTTTGTTCAACATGGTGATTCATTCAAGTGAGTAATACGCTTGCAAAATTATGAATAACGTCATTTTAGAATTTTGTAGTTTTTAATACACTGTTAAAGTAGTCATGCTAGGCTATTTGCAAAGCAGTTCAGAGTAATAACATTGCACGCTTGCGCAAATACACATGCCTTTTCAGGTAGGTTCTTTTGGCAGTTCAGTCCTAATTAAAGAACAAAATAACTCCACAATGCACTCGAAGAACCCTTTGAGATCATTCTGACAGAGCACACACTCCATCTGGTGGTCATCTGTGGAAAACGCACTGTGAAAATACTTTGGATCGACCTTCCTAACATATTGTTGACATAACCGGGTTAAAAGCGTTAAAAAGTCAAATTATTTCGTTTTGATAGGCTCTACCGTTTCTTGACTTTGTTCAAGTGCTTATTTATCTTATTCTCGTGTCATCATCGTGTGTCTTAATAAAAACCTATAAGTTATATACAGTGTTGGGGAAAGTTACTTTTAAGAGTAATGCATTACAATATTGCGTTACTCCCTAAAAAAGTAACTAATTACGTTACTTAGTTACTTGGATCATCAAAGGTCAGCAGCAAAGACATTGGTTAATAAAATGGGATTAGATACATTTGTGTTATTTAACCTATTTAATTATTGCAGATTTGCGTCATATTCTGAGTTAGCATTTCACTGTTTTAATTAATTTTGACGAATACTAAATCTGTTTTTTTGTGAGTGGGATGAATTAATGCACATTCATAACAAATTGCAGGTCGTGCAAAATTCTGCTGCTAGAATCCTAACTAGGGCTGCAAGATAAATCGCATGCGATATTTAATGCGCATCTTGTCAGAAAGCCGGTTCTGTAATCAGCGGTAAATCTCCATCACCTGTGCGCAGCTCGTCAGTGAACAACGGCTCTGTGTAGTTAATGCTGCTCAATGTGAAAGCCCGCACGTGATGGAGATTTACCGCTGATTACAGAACCGGCTTTACTGACAAGATGCGCATTAAATATCGCATGCGATTTATCGTGCAGCCCTAATCCTAACTAGAACAAGGATAAGGGATCATATCACTCCTATCTTGGAGTCTTTGCATTGGCTTCCTGTTAGGTTTAGGGTTGATTTTAAAATTCTGATGCTCACTTACAAGGCTGTGCATGGTTTGGAACTCCAATATTTGTCAGAGCTTTTAACTCCATATACCCCATATAGCCTCGTTAAAATGTCTGCATATTTCAGAAAAAAAATTAAGTGATTAAGTTTTAAACAGCTTTCTATTGGCCTGAATAATTAAGTCATAGTTTGTCAGTGACATTTCCAGCAAACTCAGTTCAAATCCATGGACTTTGTAGACTAATCTATCGAGAAAAAATAATCAGCAAGAAGGAAACAAAGTATGAACCCATCCTCACATCAGTAAACTAATTTCATGATTTATGTTCAATAACAAAAAGCTGCATTTGGATGCAAGGTTTACTGTATTACAATTCGGTTTGATATAAGACATCTTAATATATTGCTGGAAAAAAATGGTTAATATCATCCACATTTTTTCTTCCAAAATCATGACTATCAGGGGGAAGTAAAGAACAAACTAAGAAACTCAGAACTCACAAATTTAATGCAAATTAATGGGAGGACAGATCTGGGGCCATCTACCTACAGAAGAGGAAAAACACCTCACATTGCAGTTTGTCTTGTTAATGACGGCTTTGGAGTGCATACAACAGAAAATTTGAAGAGGCAGATCTCAACCTGAGGTCATTTTGTCCTGCAAAGTGGTATTGGGTATCAATGTTCCCACATAAAATGGATCAATATCCTCTGCTGTAGGTGTGGTGTAATTCCCAGGATCCAGCTGTGACTCAGAGGAATAGACAGTTGGTTATGGTCGCATATGTTCTTCTGTAAATGACAGCTGAGATTGTGTGGTGAAGTCTATAGCAGCTGCTGGCATAAGCTCAGGGACACTTAAATCCATTGCACTTTCATCCATTTAATTTTGTAAGGCCGAGATCATAGAGGAACGGTCAAAAACCAGCTCTTTAAAACTTTCCTCCATCACTGATGTTGAATTAGTGCTGTTTTGATCACTTTCGAGATCCACTTCTTCCTTCGCCTTGGTGTCAGCAGAATGTGGTTTGATGTCGGTGAAGGAGGCGCTACCTGCTATATCTGAAAACCAAACTGGTTTATAATTGTTTAGGCCTGATTTTGTTGAAGACGTTAAGGTTGGATTTGGATGAGGTTTTATCAAATGTATTAATGTACTTTCCGACTGCAAAGCTGCTTGTGGGTCTTAAAGCCTGGGACACACTGACAGCACTTAGGCTGATATCTGCTTCTGAGATTTGAGAAGTTTCGTTCCTCCAGTCTGAAGCTGCATTAGCTTGAAGGATGTTAGCTTTGCCAGAAGGTTTCATAGCAGATCTGTGCATAGGTGACTGGAAAGTGAGCTTTGCAGAGCTATTCGTTTTATGACTATTAACGACAGCAGATCTATAAATTGCATATTGAGAGGTTGGGATGGCATAGATGATCTGGTGGTTTGAACTGTCTTCAACTTGCCTACCAATCACAACGCTGCTGGTCGGTCTCAATCTTATGGGACTATAATTTTCAGTATTTGACTGTGTTATTCCAGCAGAGTTTCTGTCTTTAATTTCCTTTGTTGGATTTAACACACCTTCATGTTCCTTCAAGCTATACCTGCGAAGTGGCTGGATAACAGCATTGCGTATTTGAGGATACCCAGTCACTTTGTTCATAAGAGAAGACTTATGAATTGGAAGAATAAGCTCTGATGTGGGACTGTTATGACTGTTGCTAGATTTTATGGATGCCATTTAAGTTGGATCCAACAAAACTGCCATTTGAGAATCTCATTGTTGGGAATTCATCTTGGTTAGATTTAGTGGGCTGTGCTGAAGTAAGCCTATTTGAAGTCCACCTCTGAGATGTTTTTGACTGAACTTCGTCAACAGCTCCATTATTTGTAGTATTTGAGATGTTTTCATTGCTACAGCGTGACCTCTAACAACATGGTGCTTTAGAGCATCAGACATCGGGTTACTTGCACCTTCAGTAGAAGAGATGGTTTCATGTTGAGGTCCATTATCAAAAGAATCTGTCTGATCCCAATAAGGTTGTTTTTCTTGGCTTGATTCAATGTCCTTGAACTGGAAAAGCGTTTTTTCGTAGCCCTCACGTATCAAGGGTTTTTGAGCGAGTGCATTTTGGGCGGTATGTGGACGAGCAGGGGCATATTGCACATTAGATGAAGACTTTAAGAAGGGCTTTTGGCCAGAGTGCATTTCTGATTTTTGTAGAGATGTCTGCAATGTAGGGACAAATGTGAAACCTTTAAAAGAATACAGCTTTTTAGAAGTTAGATAATATGGCTTGTTCCGGCTACTAGACGTACCTGAATTTTTAGATGCGCCCTGAGTGCCAGACACAGATGGACTAACGCTGTGGACATGACTCTTCGTTGTGTTACCTGGCACAAGACTTGTCACACGATAATGTTTAATGGATAACGATTATACAGTACTTTGGCCGAAGGAATTCAGATGTGTCCTATTTTGGGTGTTATGCTGACTTGGCTTCCTCAATTAATGATTTGTTGGGCTGACTTGGCTTCCTCAATTAATGATTTGTTGGGCTGACTTGGCTTCCTCAATTAATGATTTGTTGGGTCTGGTAGATTAATATTTTTATCACGTTCTGAAAATAACATGGTGTTCTTTGCAAACTGCATTCGTGGGGTCAAGTCTGTGTTTTGTTTTGACCGTTTGAGTAGCGCAGACATCTGGATGCCACTGTTTTCATCTGATAGGAAGTAAGAGCGGGCATTATTGGTCACTGAAGGCCTGATGGCAGATATACCTGTAGCCAAATTATCATACTTCTTTTGATTGTGAAAGGTTTGAATGGGCACAACATTCTGACTACTTTATCCCCTATTTTGGTACCCATTTTGTGTCAACTGAATGTTCTTGAGAGTGTAGCTGCTCGCAGCTGATTTTGTATTTCCATATTCAAAAATGCTTTGCAGATTTGCTTTTGGATTGGCAACCCTTTCAGAATTAGACAGCTTGATGTGATCATACTGAGAAGAAAACATCTGAGATTTTTTTAATGGAAGGATGCTATGACCTCTATTTGAATTTGATCTCTTAAATGCAGGAGATATTGGTGTTGGGATTGTCGGAGGTTTAACCACCTTGGAAAGAGCTACGTCCCTCATATTCTTGTAGGAAATTTGTGAAATTCCAGTCCCAGCAGAAAAAGCTTGTGGCAATGGTTGGCTCTTTTGTTGATTTGCTGTTACAATTGAGGGAGATGTATTTGCCGATACAACTCTCCTCAGCACTTTTTGATTCTGGCCATTGTTTTGAAGAAAATGTTCCAGCAGCATGTTTCCATCACTTTTGTGCCTGATATTATGGTTCACAGTTGAGCTTCTAGACATATAATTGGTTGGAATATTTTCCCTCAAATAAGGTTCATTGAGTCCTAATGGTCGTGAACTGTCTGAGTGCATTTCTGATTTAGAAATATGTTGATATCCAAATGAGCCTGATCTATGCATTCCACCTTTTTTCCCTCACCAGCCTTGGGGCCAAATGAATATCACTAGAGCTCATTTGGCTCCCATTAAAGTGTAAGGGATTTTGTTCCTGTTGGACTGTTTGGAAATCATAGCTTCTTTTGGCATCAGTTTCATCATTAAATTTGGCGCTTGCTAATTCAACAGGATTATTTCTGATATTGATATTGGACTGGATATTATTTGGGACTGAATAGATAACATCTGCAGAAGCTCTTGTGTCAGTAGGGCTGAAGCTTGGATTTTTTGCATTGAAATAATTTCTCTGGTTGTATGAGGCAGAGCTGATCCACGGAAGCTGATATTTGCGGTTCAATTGTTCTATGTTCCTTTGAAGACTGCCTCTTATTGGATTTTAAATGGGTGGATTAACACTTTTGAAACTTTTCAGCGCTTGTATTTTGATCTTTGAATCATCCGTGACATCTCCTAAAGCAGGGCTGTCCAAACTCGGTCCTGGAGGGCCCGGTGTCCTGCAGAGTTTAGCTCCAACTTGCCTCAACACACCTGACTGGAAGTTTCTATGCCTAGTAAGAGCTTGATTAGCTGCTTCAGGTGTGTTTAATTAGGGTTGGAGCTAAACTCTGCAGGACACCGGCCCTCCAGGACCGAGTTTGGACAGCCCTGTTCTAAAGGCATTGGTGAAGAACCAACAATATATTTAGTTATCTTATAAATGCATATGGCAGCAAATTTAAAGCCCGTTTATTTGTACACATTATGCAATATATATGAAAAACACCCGAAGGACAATAATACAGTTTTGACTACTTTTGTCACATGCAGCTGTTCTAAATATTTATAGACTAAAAACTACATCTTACCTATTGACACTTCAGGCAGACATCCCACAAGAGAAAGAGTCAAGCCAACCAAAGCCAGTCTATAAAAAAATTAGTCTGTTTTAAAATTACAATAAATTATTACTAAAATGGAATAAAATGTTTGGAATGGTATTGCTTACCTCAGACAGTATTGAAGAGACATGTTTTAAGGACTAATGCACTTGTGCTTACGTGCCACACAAAGCTTTTTGTCACACCTGGTCCAAATTACCCTACTAATTTGGGCTCACTGAAATGCTAATATTGTTGATCGGCATAATGGTGATCGCTGATGAGGTTCACCTGAATGCGTTCAAAGCTAAGAACACAAAACTTTGCACATACACAATCTCACATTTGTAAAGTACACTTAAAGTAAGATGAAAATTTGTGACTCTGCCTTTTCCTATAGAGAGTTTTAAAAAAGACAGTGTGCTAAACTTGTCATAAAAATGATCAAAAAAATGTATTTGGTACAAACATAGCAGTAGTCATTATGTTGGCTTGGCTGTTGTGCTATTTAAACTTATTATTATTCTTCTGAGACTAAAATTTTCTGATACTAACTCCTCCTAGGGCTTTATGGCCACAAGCCCCAAACTCGGCAGAGACCTGGGCCCTGATGGGTAGTTTGTTACTATATCTTTTCAGACTGATCAGACTTACAGTTTTTTTATAAATAATTATTAAATATGAAAAATTTCCCATAGACTTACATTGGCTGAGAAAAATTGCGCCTCTAGAGGAGCAATTCCCCTTCTCTAGATGGGGGAGTCGTATAACTCCTCTTACTCAGTTTCACTTTAAAATCGGTTAAAGGGGTGGTTGATTGTGATTTCACTTTTTTAACATTAGTTAGTGTGTAATGTTGCTGTTTGATCATAAACAATATCTGCAAAGTTACGACGCTGAATGTTCAATGCAAACGGAGATAATGTCTTTTAAAATTATGCCAGTTTAATGCCTATTACAGCTGGTAGGGACTACAACAAGCTTCTTCCCGGGTTTGTGACATCACAAACCCATAAATGTACATAAACCCCGCCCCCGGGAACATGCAAGAAAGGGGGCGAGGTCATGTTGCGCTGCTTTAGAGAAGAGGAAGAGTTGTTGCCATGCCGTCAAAACTAGGGGTGCACGAAAAAATCTATTCATATATGAATCGTGATTCTGTCTTCTCTGCGTCTCAATCGGGCTCAAAATGATAAGCAATATTGACGATGCCATTGTTTACAACACAACACCAGAGCACATGCACTGAGCTGAGGGGCATGACGTTTAGACGAGCACTGGTGGTTTAGCCAATCACAACACACTGGACTAGCTAACCATTCAGAGCCCATCGTGTATTTCTGAGGGAGGGGCTTCATAAAAACAGGAACTCATTGGAGCATTTATCAGAGAAGGGACAGAGTGGTGTACAATAATGGTAAATTATGTGAAAAATAATGCGTTTTTTAAAAAAAGAAGCATTAACACATGTTAGACTGCACCCCATAAATACAATCAAGCCTAGAAAAAAAACAGTCAACTACCCCTTTAAAAATACAAATAAATACATACATTTCATTCACACGGACAAGCTACACAACATATCTGATCATTACCAGCTCAGGGCTAATTAATAATGACTGTCTGGCCAGAGAACAGTGTGAAAGACGAGAGAACTGTCTCCGCACCTATCAACGAGTGCAGTCTATACGTGCTCATAAAAAAAACTACTGCATTTGCACTTGTTTTAGAGCCTTTTAAAATGAAATATTCCAGCGATTGCATGCAATCCACCCATTAGAACACAACAAGAGCTAAATTCAGGTGTTTGGGAGCTGTTTTTTTGTGTGTGTGTAACAAAGCCTTGTGTCAGTTTACTGAGATCGCACGCTCACTGCAGCGTCCTCATTAAACTTCTTTATTTGCACGTCTTAAAGACTTGTGAAAAAACACTCCAGCGAATTTACAGGATATAATTGTAAGAACATATTAAATAGCTAAGTTGAGTGCATGTGAACAGTCGTTTATGTCTCACGTGAACAAACTGTTGAGAACAAAAAAATAAAACCGCTTTTACCAGCTGCTTTCTGTCTTCAATGTTAATCGCTCGTTAATCCATAAAAACCAGAAAATCATTCGTCTTGGCTGCTTTTTTGTATGGATGTATTTATTTATGTATTTATTTATTTTTGCTCTAACAAGAATTAATCTATATTTAATGAAAACTATGACATGTTATTTTACATTTGATTTTTTTGTTGGTTTTAAACACCTAAAAACCTGCTCTTTTATACTATTGTTTGCAATTTGTTTATCGCACAATTTAACTGGTATCTACACGTTTATGTTCACAATAAACTTGTTTGTTAGAATAGACAATTACAGCGGTCTATAACAAATATTACCAGGGTTCGTACAAGCTGCTTAAAATGCCTGAAGTAGCTACTTGACTTTTACTTTTTGAAATGTAAATCCTAAAAACCCCTCGGAAACAGCCATATTTATGAAAAGGTGCTTGACCTATTGAAAAACAATATGAATTAAATTAGTGTTTAATTTTTAGCAATGACAGTTTTTGTTGTCATAAAACCCTTCTTCAATACAATACAAAATAACAAGTGTCTATAAAAAATATTATGAAACGATAACTGTTATACTGTTTTCATCATTATATTGTTTATATATTATAATTGTTAAATAACCATTTAACAAGTCACATAATAATCAACCATTACTGCTTAAAATTATAATATTAATATTATAAGTAAACTAATCATAAAACATTTGTAATCATTCAAAAAATATTGACCATTTAATTTTAATGCGGTTCAGAGATGAAGGCCATAATGCTAATGTTGTCCACACGAGGGAGCCACAGGATAACTAATCCTTCAAGATCTCAGTTCAGACTTTGAAAAGGTTTCATTTAAGTGACTAAATAAAAAACAAAAAGAATAAGGGTCTATAGAAAATATTATGAAAACAACAACTGTTGTACTTTTTTAATCATTATATTGTTTATATATTATAATTGTTAAATAACCATTTGACAAGTGACAAATTTTTAACTGACATTTTAAGCATGATTGATTATTAACTCTTTAAGCATGAAATAAGATACAGAATTAGTGAATTTGAGTTTAATGTGGGTATGTTATCAGTAAAGTAATCATTACATTTAATAAAATTAATTAATTAATGGTATTGACAATATATTTCTCAAGTTGTCAGACATTACTGAAAAAGTGAAGAAGGGACACTATATTAGTTATCTATTTTCATATTGTGCATATAATAGTACTCACATAAGGACTCATAATTTACTTGAAAAGAGACACGTCCATTGTGTAACTTCATCATCAACACAAACCATTGTGCTTGTACCCCTAATGATCGCCTTGAATTAAACCGCATTGTTTCAGTTACCTTCTGTGTCGTTGCCCACAACGCTTCGGTGACAGGACTTTGAAATACCAAACAGGGAAAAAAATAAAAGGCATGACTTATTTCGCATCCAGCTAGCCAACTCTGTTAAAGCTGTTGTCATAGCCTAGCCCAGGGGTTCTCAAACCTCTCCATGAAGTAGCCCCAGCACTGCACGTTTTGTATGTCTCCCTATATCTGACACACCCACTTCAGGTCTTGCAGTCTCCACTAATGAGCTGATGAGTTGAATCAGGTGTGGTAGATGAGGGAGACATACAAAATGTGCAGGGCATCCAGCTAGCCAACTCTGTCGAAGCTGTTGTCACAGCCTAGGATTTTTATTAGAATAAAAAATAGCAAGGGTCCATAGAAAAAATACTGTTGTATGTTTTTTGCACCGGGGCAGCTCAAGAATGCTGGACACACAAGTACTCGGGCTCTTTTGCCCCAAGGCTGCCGAGGCTAGTTTTGCCAAACCAACATCAAAGTTTGTGTTTGAACTTTAGCTTCTAGTTCTATATGTTCTTCTTAAAAAAATACACATAAAATTAATTTGTGATCTTGAAAAGACAAATAATTAGGGCTCTTTCATTTGATACAAATGTAACACTGAAAAACTCCTTATAATTAAACCTAATAGACAGAATAAATACAAGTATATTTCATAGAAATTCATCAAAATAATTAAGTTACAATAACTTAAAAAAGGAGAAACTGGTTGAGTATAGTCTCCATGATTTGTAACAGAAAAGAAACAGCACCAAAAATATAATGGCCTAAAAGAAAATAATCTAAGGCATTGTGGTTTATATAAAAAAAAAAAGACATGTTTTTGTTGATGTGTTGTTTATAGGTTTCTCTGGAACAACCCTACATCTTTGTTATGGCGACGAGTCACGCCCAAAAGCAAACAGTCCTCTTGTGCTTCCCATGTGCTGACATTCCACAGCTTCAGCACAAAAACACATCGTGTCATCCATAGGTTTCCATTGTGGACTGCCATCCATAACCTCGAGGCAGGGCCGTGACACCCTCAAACACTGGGAGGGGACACATCCACCCAAATGTCCAGTTCAGCAGTAAACCAGTGATTTCAATAGATGATTCTTAAATGATTACATCTGCTCCCTTAAATCGTGTGTGGTTACATCTTTTGGCGTTCAGATTATCTGAGTGACACTTCTTGAATAACTTGAAATCTTGTCTTTCACATCATGTAGCAGGACATCATTGCCAGGTCCCTTAAGTCTTCATCAGTCATACAATCTGAAAACACAAATGACACATGTTAATTAGTTCTTTAAGGACTCAATTCATGCATTAAAGCCATTCAAACGCACATGCTAGTTGACACGAGGTGAAATACTCACTTCTCCGTACATCCCCGGTGAATTTCTGGCACAGGCGATTAAAACATTTCATCGGGCGTCTTTTACGCGATCTTTGCGGGGGTGAAACTTCTTCTTTTGGTGGGATGACCGTGTCCCGTTTGGGCTCCTCGGTGTCTTCGTCGTCATCCGCACATTCCTCGGCGCAGCCCGCGGTTACAAGCCGCTCAAACATGTCCTCGTCTACCGGCAGGGTCTCTTGGATTCTCGCCTCCGACAGCGGCGTGGAGTGACGGCACAGCGCACACATTATCCGGGGGTCAGGGCTCTCCGCGGACCTCCAGAGCGTCACCAGGCAGCTCTCGCAAAACGTGTGTTTGCAGCACAGCTGTCGAGGACACCGCCGACTGAGGTTGTAAGTTCGGTAGCAGATTCCGCACTCCGTTTCTGGAAACATGTTGTCCTGTTGTTTG